TTCGTGGCGGGGATGGTGCACGCTCAGGTTGGGCAGAGCCGCCATCGTTGAGGAGTGCCTTGGTGAGAGCGCTGAGCTTCATAGGGACCGGAATCTCATCGTCGGAGCTATCGTGCATGGCGTACTGTTGCGAATCCGCCTTCCTAGACAGAGCAGGTGCAGCAGCTGTCGCGTGAACAGGGTTTGATTCGGTTCGGCCCAAGTGCGGGCGCGAGGGTAGGCGACGGAGGCCTTGTCTTTGCGAAGGTCGTCGTGACAATCCGGTGCCAGCGGTACCCATCGGGGTGGGCGAAGCTGTCGACATGTCCATTTTTTCCGGTCGAGGTGGTTGGGGGTGGAGGTTTGTTTTGCAGGTGTGAGCAATGTAGGTAATTGAGCAATTCGGCGCGTCCCTTCCACGTCTCGGAGACTGACCACCTTCCGCCGCAAAAGCGATTGTTTCTGTCGAGTAAATGATGATTTACGTGTCAATGGAGCCCATGATCCAAAGGATTGAGAATGGAGGAAAGATTAGTTTATGCGGCGCGTCATTAGCATCTTGTAATGCTGGGGGGGGGATGTGTCGGTTCCTTGTCGAATTCAACGACGTTCCCAGTATTTGGGGCTAACAGGGGTCGGCCAATGAGAGGGCAGGTTCGGCAGACTAAGTTGTCCGGGCAACTGGCTGGCAGAGCTTAGGTGGGACGCGAGGCGGCACATTCCCCTGTTCGTCGCATGAAATTTGCACATCAGATTCTGGCACTATGCCTGAGGCAGACGCATGCTGGACTGAGCGACGGTGCGAAACGGCAAGGCCAAAGCTTCTAATTGAAATCGCTTAGAGATGCGCGCACTCGAGATCCATCAGACGCCTTACGGACCCAATGCCCCGCATGTTGGAGGATGTGGGTGCATGTATTCTTGCTGCAAGACGCCCTGCCTGTACTGCAGGACGGTGGAAGGAGCGCAATGTCCCAGACGGCAACACATGGTAGAAGTTTCACGATCACGGGGGAGAATTGTTTTCAAAGAAGCAGCGAGCTTTTCAATTGTCCGAAAACAGCCGGTTTCCCTACACAAACGTGTGTCGAAGTCCAACCCAAGAGTTCCCCCATGCGAATGACATGCGAAAATGTCGGCCAGATGTTGCTGCGTGACTTCTTTGATGAGGTCGGGGCACTCGGCCGGTCATCAGCGTCGTGAGAAGGGTATTTAGTCGAAGAGACCGAAGCCCATGTCATCGTCGGACTCCTCCTTCTCCTCCTCCTTGGGAGCCTCGGCCTCAGCCTCAGCAGCACCGCCAGCAGCGGCACCGCCAGCGGCGGGAGCAGCACCAGCGCCACCAGAGGGGACGGAGGCGAGCTTGGAAGAACCCTCAGAGATCAGCTGGGTGGAAGTCAGCGCGCATGTTCACAGAAAAAAGTAAGGCAACTGTCATGCCGGGAGAAAACTGACCTCGTTGATGTCCTTGCCCTCGAGCTCAGAGATGAGCTTGTTGAGGCGCTCGTCATCGGCCTCAATGCCGACGGACTCAAGGACGGCCTTGACGTCCTTGGCAGAGGGGGAGGTGTTGCCACCGAGGCCGAGGAGAAGGTAAGCGGCGAGGTGCTTCATTTTGATTGTGGTATTTCTGGATCAGAAAGCAAGGTCAGCCAAGAGTCCTCCAGATATTCGAAGGCGGCGGAGGATGCGACAGGTATTACCGGCAGTGACAACGTCGGCGAGGGAGGAGTGCGGCGGGGAGTAGGACTCACAGTTTCTTGAAGAGAACACGAGAGGTCAATCAATTTAACCGCAAGTTGGGCGGAGACTGAATCTTCGAGTCCTAAGAGGATAGTTGGCGGTGGTTGTCTCTTCGGAAAGTTGGATGCAAAAAAAAAAGTTTCGCCTTTTGTCACGGCTGTGGGCGAAAATTAGACCCTAACAGGCGTTTAGGGCGGGGGGCCAGCGTCCGATGCTGAGTGGCTGGCCGTCTGTGGCGGGGCCGCTCACCAGCCACCTGCCCGTCAGCTCCCCTGGGAGTCCACCCAAGTGCACGGGACCCTGCCGTCTTCCAGTGGGAATCGCGATAAATGACGAGAACCTGGCAGCTCGGCACTCCCGGAACCGGAGCCACTGCTTCTTCCGAAAGCCTGGAAGTCCAGGCTGGTAATAAGGCAGAGGCACAGTGCTGGAAGTACCACTGATTCCCACCCCCAGGCCAGCAGATATAAACTTGCCAACTCCAACGCCACTTCCTTTTGTTTCCCCCGAAACCCAACTTTCGACTCTCCCGACCACCAGACGCCCGTTGCGTGTCCTCCGCGACCATCTCCTCATTTTTTGCGATTTTTTCGCCCGCGACTCCCACGATTTCGCCCGACGTCCAGGCTCGCGTCTCTCCAAGTCTTTGGGGGCACTGCGCTCGCTGAATCGCAGAAAACTTGGGGTTCTCGCACTTTCCATACTGATGACTCAAGCCTCTGCCTAATGCATCCTGACGGCTGCTTCAAGCAATCTAGACCCTTGCTTGACGATACTTGGCTGTAATAGACCGTCAACATGCCGGTAAGTCCAGCGAGCACGCGACCTCCTGCGATTTCCGCTTCGCAGAACCTCATTTGGCCGACGAACGCTCACCCCCTCTCCCAGATCGGAGATCTTCTCGCCCAAATAAGTGGCGATAAGTCACAGAGCACCTCTCCGGCGCCGACACGACCGGCCATCGCTGCCGCCCCGAAACGAAAAGCAGACGATGATTTGCGCAGTACCGTTTCAAATAAGACGCCGCGAACCAGCACCACAGGGCCCAGCTTGTCATCAGCTTCGAAGCCCGCTAGCGCTCCGAGACCCGCTTCGCGACCAGCGGAAAAGGCGACGACCATTACCGGCTACCGAGGCAGCGCAGCCCGACCCTCAGATCGAACATCATCAACACCCAAACCCCTGGGCAATGGCACATCATCAGCGAAGCCCAGCACCTCCAGTGCGCGACCCCTAAACGGGTCTGGTGCATCGAGGCCCATCTCCACCCTGCCCAGCCGACCATCACCCGCCCCTCCAAAGGATGGTGCAGCCCCGAAAAAGGGGTCTTTTGCTGAGATCTTGGCGCGTGCCAAGAAGGCTCAAGAATCGATGGGCCAGGTCGGAAAAATTCAACACAAGCCTGTTGAGAAGGTTCTCACCAAGAAAGAACGTGAGGATTTGGCGTTACAGGCAAAGAAGGACGCAAAGGCGGCAGCGGCCAAGGGCGGAGCTGCGAGACAAGCGTCAAAGTTCCAGGGCACGTCTAGACCATCCTCAGGTGCTCCGGCACGCAACGGGGCTGGTACCAACGGGTCCTCCAGGAATGGCGCACCCGACCGAGCAAAGGACCCTAGAGCTGCAGCAAAGGCACGCGCTGCTGAGGAGGAGCAGGAAAAGAAGCTCAAAAAGGCAGCTGTGGCGACCACAGGATACACTGGCACCGCCCGCCCGAGACCCGGTGCAACCTCAACGAAGAAGAAGCCAACTCCCGGCGGCGCCCTACTCAATAGTCGACCTGCACCACGCTATGGCGGCTCCGCAAGAAGGTCTCGCTACGAAGACGAGGAAGACGAAGAACTCGACGACTTCATCGAGTATGATGACGAAGAAGACGACGCTGGTCCCCGTTATACCTACGACTCGGACGGCTCTTCAGACATGGAGGCCGGCATGGACGACGTATGGGAGGAAGAGCAGATGGCAGAGCGTGTGGCTCGCAGAGAGGACCTCGAGCAGGAGAAGCTCGAGAAACGACTCAAGGCCGAGAAGGAAGAGCGTAAGCGCAAGTTCTACGAGCAGCAGCGTGGACGGCGTTAGTCACGAGCCCCGGCGCTCCAGACGGTATCACAGGGGAACAGGAACCTGGGCACTAAGGGCATTTGCACCGGTAGGCGCGGCGCGGCAGCATCACATTAGCGACGGCGTTACTGTATTTGTTTTGTCATCATTGGGTTAGGGAAATACTCGCGGCACACACGGCCGACTTCATTTGGCGGTTTTCACCTCACTTTCTTCTTTGGAGAGAAGGGTATAAACGTGCCACGCGCGCAAGATGATACCTCAGGGGCCAACAAACATTAGCCTAATATTATTACCTCTGTGCCAGGTACTGGTCAGAACCAAGCTTAAGGTCCCAGGGGAGGATTGGTGCTGAAATACCTGACAGAATGCCGAGAACTTGGCGGCTCTGTAACAGGAGAGTCCCCAGCCAGAATCACGTAATGCGTTTGCCCGTTTGATAGGAGAAGTAGATTGTCTTACGTAGTCAGGTTGTTGGGTAGTTAGGGAATGACCAATTACGAAACCACAGGGCCATGTCGCCTTGGTGATATTGCTCAAACGTAATGTGATCCTTGTATCTCAATCTATGGAAGCCCCAATGCCACAATCCATGGGGTATCAAATCTACCCGTTCCATCGCTGGATCCCATCCCCCAAACGCCAGCTTTCCAATATTGCCGAAGATTCCACAAGATACCTGCTGTGAGCCAGTGACCGGAGCTACTAAGCTCCGCTCTTCCGCAACTGATAACTCCGATACGTGATGTTCAACCAAGCTGCCGACGAACGACTGCGGCAGTAGGTCATCCGGTCCGCATGGCGTTTGTTGTTACACGCGATCTATGACCGCAAACTTTGCGCCCTGTAAGCCTTGTGGCTAACAAGGGAAGAAAAATAAAGCCAGAAATGCAACCGTCCATGTTGATGGCAAGCAAAGATGGGGAAAGAAGGTAAAAGAAGGCGGCGGGAAGAAATTCCGTCACCTGAGTTATGCCTCCTGTTCGACACCCGAGTGGGAAAAGGAACAAACAAATGCAAACGTTGCTGGTGTTGCGGCTGCAAATTGCTTTTCAAGGATAACTTCTCCGCGGAGGCGAGAGACCCTGGAGGAACACTGCCGCCCACCAAACTCTGGCGGACGAGGGACGGATTCTCAACTGTGACAAGCGGTGCGCAAGTGCTCAGCGTCTTAACCAGGCCCATGTGTCTCAATAGTAGTCAGGAGCTCTGCAATCCTATGGTAGATCTTCCGACTTGAGACCTGAGTTCCCATATCCACTCAGATTCCAGCCTTTGTATCGAACTGTAGAACCGCCGCTGCCAGAGAGTGAGGAGGGAGGAGGGTTGTGTGGAGGAAGCCCATTGTGATGCTTCATGGGCGGTGGTGGGAGCGAGGCTGGTGCAGCTGGCAAGCTGCTTTTCTGGCCAACGGGAGCACGATGACCGTTCGTACCGTTGGATGTGCTCTGCTCGTCATCCTTCATAAGGCCCTTTTCTCGCAGATACTGGATTGACTGGAGAACCGTCAAATCCTCTTGGTCCTTGTCGTTGAGGATCAAGCGCTGCTGAATGGTAAGTGCCCCGTTGTTCGCTTCCCGCTCTTTCATGGCCGCCTCTCTGACAGCGGGATCGTGGACGAAACGGCACTTGCCCTTCTTGCCACACGTACCTCCCGTCGAGTAGTACTTGCAATGTTTCGTAACATCTGCCTTCTTAGCTGGCGGGGGCGGTGGGGGGGCTTGCTGAGCACGACTAGACGCGACTTCTGGCTCGTCGTCTTCAGACTTAATTTCAACGGGGGAGCTGTCTCTCATCTCATCACCCTCGTCCTGCTGTTCACGCTTGCGTTTGATGGACGACTCCACCTTTTCTAGCTGTTTTCTCAGCTTGATAGCGAGGTATTCTTCCTTCTCTAGAGCGGCAGCAAACTTGTGGCTGCTTCCGTGTGCCACCTCGGCAGACTTCTTTGCCTTAACTCGTGCGGCCGTGGGGAAGCGCTTCTTCCGCTCGGCAATATAGGCAGCAACATCAGTGACCCTACACATACCGTTAGCGGACCGTTAGCTCATTGTTCATTTTCCACTCACTGTAAAGCATCGGCGCCGATCAGCTTGCGAAGAGTCTCCTCTTCCATCTCATCGTCCTCAGAGTCCGAATCCTGGCCTGGCGTAAGACCCAACGTGTTGGTCTTGCGCTTCTTCTTCTTACCAGAAGCGGCGTTGTTATCATGCTTGTGTGATCCTCCGTCTTGACGATTGTTATGATGATTGCCTTGCTGGCGGTGACGGTTTCTGTCGTTGCCGTGTTGGAAGCCTCCACGACCTCGCGTGTTGTTCCCGCGGAAGCCACCTCGTCCACGGCCGCCATGTCCGTCATGCTTGTAGTGTGGCTCGTGTGTTGGGCCGGAAGCATGAGGAGCAGGCGGTGGAGCGTGGTAGGGATACTGGGTAGGAGGCGCGTATGGAACCGGCTGAGCGCGGGGATCTCCGTACGGTTGGCCATATCCACCATTCACTTGATGTTGGATTCCTTCGTTGCCGTATGCCGCAGGGGCTGGTGTACTTATGTTGGGAGCTCGCGAGCCACCTCGGTCGTTGCCGTATCCGCCGCGGCCACGGCCGCCACTGTAATGGTTCTGAGCGTGTTGATCATGGCCTGCAGACCATTGTTGGGGGGCACTGTATGGTGCAGGATGTTGGTAAGGTTGCCCATACTGTTGCTGCTGGGGAGGCCCGTATCCTGGCTGGTGAGGAGGCGGTTGGGCATGTTGAGGATGGGAGTAAACTTGGGGAGCGTAATTGGGATGGTAGTTGGAGCTGGACAAGGGTGCAGGAGCGTGGGCGCCATGCTGAGGCGTAGGATGGGCGTGATCGTGGTGCCACTGCTGCTGGGGAGGATAACTGCCGCCCGTGGGCTGACCTGCATACGCAGGGCTGTGTTGGGGATAGGGTTGCTGGCGACCGTACTCATATTGAGGCTGAGGAGCAGGCGGGTATTCAGGACGACTGCCAGACGTATAACCACCACGGCCACCTCGGCCGGGAGGAGCACCACCTCCTCTGGGATGTTGTTGATAGGGGCCGCCGTGATGACCGTATCCAGGATGGCTCGCTTGTGCCGCCTGGGGAGGAGGTGGCGGCGGGCCGTAGTTGTAGCCGGACATCTTGGCTCGGCAATGTTGAAGCTCGTGTCTCGAAGGCTCGGCTCGGGTCTTCTCCGTTGTGGTATTTACGGGACGTTCGATGATAGAAGGAGGCAGGTCCACCGAGAGACTTGATGGCTCCGTACCAGATTGCTTCTTTCGAAGGTGAGCGCTTGCGATCGTATCGAACTGCAGGGAGGAAGGGGGCAAAAGGGTGATGAGGTGCAGATCGATATCAAAAAAATGAATCTTTTCTGGAAGCAGGAAGACAATCTCGGAACAAGACACCTCGCCAAGATGAAATGCAAAAAGAAGGAAACGCGAGGCGGGAGACGCAGCTTGATGCAGACTGCAGGTTCCCTGACGCGAAGCTGAAGCAGAAGGTGGAGCCCAGCAACTTTCTTCCTTTCTGCGAGCAGAGTTCCAGGCTCTCTGTCCTGGCTTCCATAGGGATGGTTTCGGTGGCCGCAATAACTGTTCCAGCGGGTCGAGCAACCTTGGGAGTCCAGTGTCTTATTGCTGCCTTGGGGGCGCTTTGGTCCGCTGAGTCGATCCTTGCAGGCGCCTCGCTAGGCTAGAACCTGAGGGCGGTGTGACAGCGGGTGTCTTTTCCAGCCAGGCGCCCCGCGATTTTGCCGATTTTGCGATTTCACAGACGGCCAGCGACTCATCTGAAATTCCTTCCTTGAAAGGCGTATTCGCTTCTAATTGACCCTTACTACGAGACGACGATCTGAGGGTCTCCATTCTTAATTGTGTCTTTTTACTCGTCCAGAGGCCCTCATCGCGAGCAAATAATTGGCCAACATGTTCATCCTCGTAGGTTTCGATCCTGCAATTTTCACCTGGATGTATCACTAACACGGCCGCAGACCAAAATCGCCGATCTAGTTGAGATCGCACCAGAGGATTTCCGCAAGAAGAGCGGTACCGCCATTGAGGACAATATCAACGCAAAGTACGCGAACAAGGTTATTCAAAAGATTGGCCTCTGCATATGTCTCTATGACATCCTCTGGACATCAGAAGGACTCATCGGCCATGGCACCGGCCTTGTCAACGTCAACGGTATGTGAGAAACGTGCTCGGGAAGACCGCATGCCTGACGTTCTTCTAGTTGAATTCAGAATGATCGTATTCAGACCGTTCAAGGGCGAAGTCATGATTGGCAGAATCAGGAGTTCTACGCCAGCCGGCATCAACCTGAGGACAGACTTTTTCGACGACATTTTTATCCCCTTCGATGAGCTCCCCGAGGGTGCCGAGTAGTGAGTGAAAGTCACCCATGATATCAAAGCCCAGTCTGGACTAACTTGTTCGAGCAACCACTCGGAGCAATTATGGATCTGGAATATTGAAGGCGACAGACTCTTCTACGACAACCACGAAATGGTCAGATTCCAAGTTATTGACGAGGAGTGGCACGACCAGACGCCTGCGGGTCCCAGCCAGGGAGAGGAGGCAGCCCCGCCTAAGCCACCATACAAGGTGAAGGGCACGATGGCGATGGAAGGTCTCGGCGTGTGTCTCTGGTGGGATGGTCAGGGCAGCGAGTAGTACTTCGGCGGTCCTTGATTATCTCATAGGCGATGCATTGATTATTTTACGGGAAGAAGACAAAACCAGGAAGGCGCATAGGCGGCATGGATATGTACATTGTTCTACAATTCTATAACTTGATACCCGAGAGCAGTCTTTGCTCCACATCATCCAGAACTGAGTAGTGGTCGACGACGGCAATGTTCTCGGCCTCGCCCTTGAACTGCTTGTCGGGGTCAACACCAGGCCCAAACATCTGGGGGGCGCCCTGGGCGCCTCCCATCTGTCCCATTTGCTGGGCCATCTGGCTGGCGGCTACTTCACGTCAGTGTACCACTTCTTGGGAGCTATTATCGAGACTAGCTTACCATTGTCACTCCCCAGAATGAAGTTGAAGACAGATTGCAAACCAAAAATGCAGAGGAAGTACCAGCTGATGCTAGACATCCATCGGGGATCCATGTCCTTGGTCGCGACACCAGCCTGGAGCATGCTCTTGAACTTGATGGTGAGCGGGAACGGCAGCTTCATGATGACGTATCCGCTGAAGAAGGCGTTGATCCAGCTCATGATCAGCGTGTTGGGGATAATCATCGCCATGTTGTTCTTCATCATGCCCATCATGCCGTCCATCGCACCCGGGTCCGTGAGCGGGTTCGCGGGGGGCTGGCCCTTGCGATCGGGGTCCTTGAGGTAAGCACCAGACTCGTACGCAGCAACAAGCGTGTCACGGCGCGCCTCGAATGACTTCTTCGACAGGACGTGGTGGTTCGTTCGCACACCAACGCCATGCATCATGGCGCGTTGCTCGCGGAGAGCAGGCTTGTCGAGCTTCTTGGGCGGGGTGGCGAGCATAACCGAGGCATAGTGTCGCAGAATACCAGTCAAGATCATGACCACGGTAATCGGGAACAAGATCCAGTAGCTATTGCGTTGCTTCGATTAGTCCCTACATGCCGAAATGGACAATTGGCGGTAGACACGTACAACAACTGGGGATCCCGATGGATCGTCTGCACCGGAACCTGGGCCATGGCGGGGGTAGTTGACTCGGAGCGCCGGGCAGGATAATTCGAAAAGATTGTGATGGCGCTTGTCGTTGCAATTACGGCCCGGGAGTTGCGATCTGGTGGTCGACGTTGCACCCCATCATCTTGGTGGAGAGCTCCCGTCGGAAAAAGAGTTTTGGCGGGGCTCCGAAAGACCACCTTCCACTTTCACTTTTCGACAATGGATTCGCGCAGGGGTCCAAGCTGTCCTAGCTCCGAAAGCCAGGCTGGAGGTTACAAGACATAAAACGAACCCAAATCCCATGCACGCTATATCACGAAGCAGCGAACACTGGAACCGGATCACTCTACCCCGCGCGCAATTATCACCAAAATGTCGTCTTCAGAAAGAATAACGGTCCACAACTTGGCCGGTACGTTTCTGCCATTTTTCGTGCATCTTTGTCGCATTCGCACTAACAGCTTACCCCAGATCTCAAGAACACCTCGGACGATGCGCTCCCCAACTACCTGAACTCCCTTAAGTTCACCCAGTCCCACACCTTGACCGATGTTCGTCTGGGCCTCGGCTGGGGCGCGTTCCTGATCGCCGCCGCTTGCTTTGGCTGGGATTACAAGTTCGGCTTCGACGCAACCAAGTACTACACTGCGGCCGCCGTGGTCGTCTACTCGATCCTGAACGGCGCTCTGACGCTATGGATCTGGCTCAAGGAGGCAGGCACCGTATACGAGGGCACATCTCCGTCGGGTGAAAAGGTAAGCGCCAGCGTCGTCTCCCCTGCAGCCTCGCATCCTGTTCTACGAAGCCAATGACTTACACCGGCTGGTACAGATCAACATTGCAACATCAACAAAGAAGAATGTCCCAATCTACAACATGAAGATCACCATTACACCCAAGAACGGCGCAGGCAAGACGCTCGAGCTTGCGAAACCTTTTAACCAATGGTTCGACTCTCAGGGCCACTTCGTCGCTTCGCCATTCCAGGAGATCCTCGCTACCAACATCCCCACCATTGGCAAGCTTGATCCTAAGCGCGTTCAGTCCACCTCCCAAACCTACTCTGCCGACGTCCTCGACGCTCTGTACGCCGAGAGCACCGCGACGGGTAGCGGAAGCGGCGCAGAGGCAGCGGCCAAAGGATCTAGCAAGCGACGCAAGGCATAGATAGTCGTTCGGCTCTGGTTAGGGATTTGTTCTACACTTGTTAAATGCTCCATATTCTTGTAAAGTAACCAAGGGCTTTGAGAGGGCAAAAAAGCATGCGATTTTGTTTCCATCGTTCCGCAGCTGTGCAAATAGCGCTGGTTGACCCTGGTCTCATTATATATGGTTCTAATCTACTTGTGATTTAAGCCCCTGAACGCCTCGCCATGCCGGCATCCCCTCAATGACAACGTCTATATGCATATCCAGGCTGCGCCGTACACGCGTCTTTTCCAGCAGAACCCGCCCGCTTATCCAAATTACACTTCCAGTCTCTTCTTATTTGACCTCTGCCCAAGCCGCACGTGCAACGAGAGCAGCCTTCCGAACATCCCGCACTCGATCACCCGATGACTGTGACAGTACGCGACGGACATGTGCCGCAGAGTCAAGCAGATGACGGTCCTCGAACTGGGGAGGCAAAAGACCGAGGAGACGGACGACGAGATACCGGCATTGCGCCTGGCTGATGTCCGAATGGTCGAACGGCATATATCCGGCCGGCATCCAAGCTGAATCCTCGCTCTGGGAGCCGCCTCGGGTGTAGATAGAGATGCAAGCCTCGATGATGCTCTTAAGGAAAGGCTTGATGCGTTCAGGCGATCTCTGGGCGATCTCCTCCAAGACCTTGAGACCTGCTTGCACATCTCCACCAGAGGGCAGGTAGCGGACGGCGCAAAGCACAAGTCTCACCAGATCCTCTGTGTCGTCCTCGTAGATGTTGAAGGGCAGATGCTTGACAGCAGCAAGAACAGCAATGCTATAGTTTGCAGCCACCAGCATGTCCTCGGAACTATTGGAGCCAGCGGGCCAAGCCTTTGCCAGCATGGGCTTGACCAACTCGAAGTAAGCCCTCTGCAGCCACAAAGGTTTGGCTAGTCCATAGTAATCCTTTGCCAGACAGCCATAAGGAGAGAAAATGATCTCAAAGTTGCGGGCAAGAATGTGGCCAGTCTCCTTGTTGGCAGGGCCGAGCTGGATAGCCGAAAGAACCTGTTTAAAGGCATTGCCTGTGTACCTTCGAAGAACACCAGCAGCGATAGCATAGACAGGCCTTGCCAGGTTAGCCCGCGCCTGAGCCGGGGTTTCTCCTGGGATCCTCTTTGCCTCGTGCGCAAGGAAGCCAGTTTCGTTCTCCGATTCCTCTGACAGACTTCCATCGCCAACAACAAACTTCATCTGTTGCTCAATCATTGCCACTATCTCGCTCAGCTTCTCGACTGGATACTTGTTGGCAAGAATCGTCAGGATATGAGCGACAATGTGGCGTGAACGGGGCGAAGCTGAATGGTCGCGAGACAGTAGACCTGCAATCAGAATCTGGTGGGCTGTTCCTCTCTCGACCTGGGACGTATCAGTGCACCGTTTTCCAAAAGAAACTCGGAATAAACTTACCAAGCGTTGAATAGTTGTGGGATGCAGGGGCTGAACTATACCCAACGAGAGTACAACAGCACGGCCTTGACTGAAGCCACTAATAGGAAATTTGGGGGGATCACGCATGCTGTAAGATTTTGCTGGGCTAATAGTTCGCAGCATGGCATCTCGCAACTGAGCATTGGCCCAGGGGTGTGCATGAGTAGGGTCGCTGTGCAAGTATTCGTCATCCCCGCGGAAGAGAGTTACAACCTCTTCATTGAGGAGCAGCGCAGTCTGCTCCAGTTCATTCATTTCCCGAATGACAAAGGAGGCCATGGTGCTAATATAATGCAGATAACAGTCCTCAAAGTTGCGCGCGTCAGGGTCCTTGTTCACAAAATCGGTACTTAGCTCAAGGGACAGCTCAGTGTCATCTGCGTAGCTGACGATCCTCGTCGCCCTCCTGTAGAGTTGTCGTACCACAAACAAACTGGTCAGAGTAAAATCTCCATGGAGCTCATCGCTAGCGTTCTCCAGAGGTTGTTCTTTGCTGTCAACATCCATAGCATCAACAGCAGCAGCTGATTCGGAACTCTCGCCATCAACACGGGGCAGCTGGGGGTATCGAGCTGCCACATAGTTGACCCACGTCTCGGGGTGGAAGCGCTTATCCCTGAAGTTGAGGGCGCTGGATCGGGGAACGAGTGCATGGATAGCATCTCTGTGGTATCTCATCGTCATCTGAATCCCAGATGCGAATACTGACCAAACCTGGGGAGGTGCCTTGATGTCAAGCATAGACTGCAGGTTCTTCAACAGTACACCGAGTAGAAGGACGTAATTGCCCAATTTGTTTGCTTGGCTGGGTACCTGAGAGCAGCTGATGAACGCTAGCTTAGGAATGATCTGCTCAAGAGTTCCGATCAAGCCAGCGACCGACCTCTCAGGAGAAGCAATATACGGCTCGCATACTCTGAAGCTGTCCTCGACCAGTTTTTCCAGAGCTGGCGGGTAAGCTGTGGTTGCCCTCTGGAGAGCAAACACCGCTTCATCGGCTATGTTGGCCTGAAGCTCGTCTGTAGCGTATCTCTCTGGCGCCTTGAGGATCACACTTGCTAGATCATCGCAAATCTCGGAGAGAGTGGCCTCTGGGAGCATAGGCTGTGTGGACAATCCTGTCTGGGCGGCGCGCTGGCATACCATGAGGCCCATACCCTTGATAGCTTGCTGTCCGATGGCGGTTTCTTCCTTCTGTGCACCGTCTTGGATTGCTTGTTGAAAGGGAGGCAGATATGCCTGTTTGTAGAGGGGTGCAAGCATCGGCTCTGTTGCCTTGAAAGCAGCTGCGTCGTTAACGGACAGTTCCGCCCCACCACCGATAAGAGCTTGTCTCAATTCAAGGAGAGAATTGAGCAAAATCAACAGATTTTTGGTGTGTTCGGGTGACTTCGTGTGACGAAGATTGTCCTTGACATGGGTGATGGAGGGAGCGATCATAAGAGCAAACGCTGAGGGCTTCGCGCTGTGCACGCTGATAAGCAGTTTGCCTGAAGCTGCCGTGTATATCGGGTTGGCGAGGTCCTCCAAGCAGTCTCGCTGGACAGTCAGGGCGAAATCTCTCAGCTCGTCACCTGAGAGTCTCTTGGCAATGGTACGAATGACCTCGAGCGTAGCGTTGATCGTGTCCTCAATTTCTCCGTTGCGTACCTCGTACTTCAGACTGCCCCAGATCTTCTCAACAAAGGGCGTAATTCCTTGCTGGACATGCTCATACTTCACCAGGCAGGCGGTCAGCGTTTTGAGGATATCGACCTATATCACTGTCAGTTTAGCACGATCACACTCCCGAAATGGCTACTCACCTTGACATTCACAGTCACACTATCTCCTTGATCGAGCCTTCCGATTAGATACGGGATCGCCTTGCTTGCGACCCGATGGTGCGCAGAGAAACATTCTCGCAGTGCAGACTTGAGGTCATCTGCGGTGATACCAGATGGATGTTGCGATGCTCTCAGTGAGATTGGGAAATATGCTGAAAAAATACTGAAAATCTCGTCCACGAGCTCCTGTGTCGGAGAATAGTCGGCAAGGAATGTCTTAAGGATCTTGAACCAGATCATCAAGCATTTAGGATCTCTCTCGTTGCGGCAAAGCTGCAGGAGGTCCGTTATGAAGCCGGTAGTAGCGCCGTGCTGGTACTGTAACTCGTTTGCAACATCGGGGTTGATAACGAGATGGTCCAGGAGTTCATACACCGTGGCGCGAGTCTCTGCGATCTGATTTTTGAAGTCATCACCGAGACTGCAAATGGTCTGAATGATGTCGTTCCCTTTGGAGGGCTGAAATGCCTTCATACTGGTCGTTCGGTCGAGTGCTTTGGCGGCTGGCATAATGCCAGCTTTGTGATCGACCTTGAACATGCTACCAAAGAATGCAACAAGGAGATTCACTGCAATGACTTGTCAATGGAGATTCTCTTGTAAGAGAAATTTGATTCACCTTGATCTGCCTTCAGAAAGCTGGGGTCCAGATGTTCCAATGTCCCTGCCAGGAAGCCAAGGGCTAAATCAGGGTTAGTATTGGCCTACAGCGTACCACCGGGACGAGGGCTTTCACCTTTGGAGCGGGCAATGACATCGCCACTCGACTCTCCATCCTCGCCGTCTTCCATTTGGTCGGCATTGGCGTTGGGCATCCACGGCCTGATGGACTCGACCCATCTCGCCACAGGATTGCTGGGTCTAGGTGCTGATTGTATTGCTAGAACCAGGGGTCAGCACTCTGCCTGTCTAGGGGCCTTGGATCTCAACGTCTGATAGGGCGTACCTGAAGATGCGTCCTTGGTGATCGATGCATGCCTCTCAGGGTCGTCGCTAAGGACATACTCTAGTGCCAATTTCCTGAAATCTGCCATGATACCCAGCCTCTTCAGGCACTGTGTTGTTTGCGATGATGTCTCTGTCGAAGGTCCTAAGAGCAAGTGTATGGCTGAAAAGTTCGAGTGGTGTCTCGGCTGATGTTTTTTTGTAGTTGAAGAAGGGAAGTTGGTTGGGGGAAAAGTGAATAGTGAGATTGGGCTGTTGGAATCAAAATCAGAAGTTGCGATGCGCACCCGCACTTGGCTATGAAGTTCACCCCGCACCTGCTCAAAAAGGTGGCCGCTTTCAGGGGTTAGATACAAAACTTCAGATCTCTTCCATCTGATGATCCAAAATAGACCAGGTAGGGAGGCGCGGGTAGGATTTTTCAGTGCACCAACAGGAAGGCTTCAAAACTTTTCGTCAACCGATACTAACTTCACTTCACTGGCCGGCTTTCGGTGACAGGCTGTGAGATAATTACTCAGATGAGATGGTGGTGGGAGATATGCTTTAGGCAAGCGGTGTGTCTCTTATCAGGCTTATCGCGGCCTGGAGGAACCAATGTCCGATGACGGTGACTGTCCAGGATTAGCATGCCTTCTCCTTCTAGTCCTTCGTTTTCCAGGAGTTCTTTAGGTTTGAGTTGAGAGTGAATTGTGAAGATATTACTCATCTACATGAAATAAAAGAAATCTTTAAATATCATTTACCATCGTAGAATCTCTAGTCAATCTTGATAGCCCTTCATTTCCAAGTTGGAAATGAACAATTGTGACATTGCGCTAGTCCTGATTGGGCGGAGAGTCTATGGAGGGGTAAATTTCAGCGCAGGGGCCGCGGGGTCCTGCGCCAGTAAAGAAAAAAATTTGGAGGTCGAAGTCGGAGCCAGTGCCCCTCCAAAATACTCATAGCCGTCCACGGTCATTTTGCGGAACCATCTTTTTTCTCACTTCAACCGCGCCAATTTTGTCTTCTGGCCTCAAATCCTAGATCTGAGCCTCTCATTTCCTGTTCAATTGGCAGACCTCCCGCGCTTCTAGGCAGTCAGTTTCCCCTTTTCTCATTCGTCTTACCCCAATAATGCGGCATCGCGGGGTCCAAGATGGTGGGGCTTTCAAGACGGCAGTACTAATCCGGGGATAGAAGCCGATAGGCACTCACTCAACCTCCAGATAACGGAAGTGAGTGATACCAATGACACTGGGGAAGAGAGCCCTGGCTGACGCGTTGTGAAGGCATTCCAAGTCTCTCGGAGATCCAGACTCAGCCATGGCCTCCGAAGTCCCCAAGACGTGCAAGGTCATTCTGGCCGACACCATTGCCAAGAAGCTCCTGGCTGAGGTTCACGAGACCCTCGCCAAGGTCCAGGGCAGCGGCGTCTTCAAGCCCACCCTCGTTGCCTTCCTTGCCAACGACGACCCGGCTGCTCTCCAGTACGCCGAGTGGTCTCAGAAGACCTGCGTAGAGAAGTAGGCCAAGCCCTGCCATTGCCCGCAAAGATGGTCCTTTTCGTCTTTGCAGGAGAGAATTACACAAAACACGTATACACACAGAACATGAAGGGTGCAAAGGTGACTAACAAGAGCCTTTCCTTTCAGCGGCTTCAACTTTGACCTGCGTCGCGTCGACAAGGAGCAGCTCGAGGAGAAGATCCAGGAGGCCAACGAGGATGACAAGGTCGACGGCATCATCGTCTACTACCCCATTTTCCCCGGCAACCCCACGCACGACAAGTACATCCAGGAGACCGTCTCCCTGGCCAAGGACGTCGAGGGCCTCTGCCACAAGCACATCTACAACATGTACCACAACGTCCGCTTCCTCGATCCGCCCCAGAACCTGCGCAAGTCCATCCTGCCCTGCACGCCCCTCGCCGTCGTCAAGATCCTCGAGCACCTGCAGATCTACAACCCCATCCTCGCCCCGGGCAACCGCCTCTTCGGCAAGACCATCACCGTCATCAACCGTTCTGAGGTCAACGGCCGCCCGCTAGCCGCGCTGCTCGCCAACGACGGCGCCACCGTCTACTCCGTTGACATCACCGGCGTCCAGCTCTTCACCCGTGGCCAGGGCATTAAGCAGCCGCGTCATCAGGTCACCAACAAGGAGGGTTGGGGCCTCGAGGAGGTTCTCCCCATCAGCGATGTCATCATTGGCGGCGTCCCCGCCGAGAAGTACAAGATCAGCACGGATCTCATCCGCGAGGGTGCCGTGTGCATCAACTTCTCCTCGTTCCGCAACTTCGATGCCCCCACAGTCAAGGAGAAGGCCGCCATCTACGTCCCCTCCGTCGGTAAGGTGACGATTGCCTGCCTGCTGAGAAACCTGGTTGTAAGTGGCTGCCCTGCCCGATACAGATCAAGCGAGTTTACTGATTTTGCTGCAGCGCCTCATTGCCAATCGCCCGACGACCAAGGACAACGGCAGCGAGGACGCAAGCACCGCGCAAGCCAGAAGTGAGGCCTTCACCGAGGGTTAGATTTGAGAATTTTGAAATTGCACCGGAAGACCCCGCAAGGGAAGACAATATTGCGTAGAAAAAAGTTACACGGTTTGGACAAAAAAGGCATTTTGATTGTTTATACCTCGTTTGTCGTACGGGAGGATCACTGAGGCTTGCATTACGGGCGAAAATCAAACAAAAAGCATACAAGACATGGGTTAGCCGGAGATATTTCAACATAGAGCAAGACACGCACAGTCGTTTGTGTCGTTGTCAAAGGGATTGCTATTTTGCATTGAGATCCATCGGGTTTGCATGAGGGAGCCGAGTTAGACATCGTGTCATGAGTAGAGATACGGAATGCTTATTCCATGCAGCACTATGCGGAATCGACTGTCGGGGGTGATGATGTCTGTTCTGAGACGCAACCGAGCCGCAACCAAGCCGCAACCAGGCGGGCTGACACTCTCTTGTTGTCTACAGGCTTGCAGGCGATGAATCAGAAGGGAGTTGTCCAAGGCTCATGTGTACAGGAACAGGTTCACAAACAGCCCGCGAAGGCTACTCCAACGATCCGATCATTTACCGAGAGGTCTAGCATTGCGATTCCAGAAGGCAGGCTGCTGCATTTTGCGAACTACAGGCCGGACTGAGTTCGGAGAATAACAAGATCTTTAAATAAGCAGGGGCTCAGCCAAGGCAAGAACCAAGACCAAACGAGATAGGCGACGAGATCCGGGCGCAAGCCGCAACCGCCGGCGCGTGCCTTTGATGTGCTGGAAGACATAACGACGTCGCGATCTTTTGTGCGTCAACGCGGCACCGCTTCTGCGGGATCAGAGGACGATCAATCCGTGACTGAAAGACGGACAGTTCTGGGACTGCGCGGATGGGACGAGAGCCTGTTTCGGGACGGTGTTCGCGCGCGCTTCATCCTGAGTTTTCTCACATTTCCCCACGTCGGGCCGGAAGGGTGCGCCCACACTGGCATTGTCCAACAGTTTGAGCATTGCAAGGATGGCGCCGTCTGGGTGGGAATCGTGAGATCGCATCCGATTGCATGTGTAGATTGGTTCGGCATCGCAAATCAATGCGAGGAGCAGAAAATGACCAGATAAACGAGGTGCTAATGGGTATAGTCGATGAGTTAAGAGCCAATTCTGGTAGTCTGTAGCAGATTGACACCGCATAGCGTCATCGGATGAGTGATTGGGAATTGGAGGAACGGCAGGCCAAGAATGTGAGTTCGTAAGGTGACATTCGTATCTTGAATTATCCTCAAAGTTCAAGAAGTTCTTTGCTCATGCGAATGACGAATGGCGATTAGTGACTGGTGTCTCTGGCGCTTGTCTGGGCCTAGGCGCGTTACAGGCAAATTCCGCCAGGGTTGAATGCAACACAGTGCATCCAAGAGACGACCGCAAGCGACGGTGGTACCGAGGACAGCAACGAGGCGACATGTTTGCGAAGGAGCTGCAAATTGCGAAGCATTCCAGAAGGCTCGGGCACTTCGTCTCGGTTGCGTCGTTGATGGTGGTTTTATTGAAATGTAGCTCCACCAATGGCTGGGGACTTGGATGATTGTGTACAGTCGCAGCTCCAGACTGCTGGGAACCTACCTAGCACTTGTGAAGTCGACTGCCACGACCTTATGCGGCGCCCGCTCGCTGGCCACGAGTAGCCCGTCGGTTCGTCACATGCGGCCACCTCTTGGATTGCTGTGGTCCTTGCTGTGGTCGTTGAGTTGTGAGCGGTTAGTCTGCAGAGCGTGCGTAGTGCAGCGTCCACGTTGAACAAAGGGCCGAGAGCACTTCTGCCCATCTCCACAAGTCACGGGCGAGGTTGCGTTGAAGCTTATCCCCAAAGTTACCGCGCCAGGCCACCACCTTGGTCAGACATGTTCGTCTCGAGAATGAAATTGATTGGCGACGGCCGTGGAGCTGTGGATGGCACATTGGCCACGGATCACGGCGTTCAGTGTGGCTACGTATGGATGCCTGCTCGATCAGTGTAGCGTTTCCGTGAGAGCGTCCAGCGAAATTGGGGGCGTCCACTGAAGTGGTCCAGTGTTGGGTCTTGCTGCAGGCTGCCCTGGGAATCGTGAGGTCCATCAGGGTCTGCATGCGGAAGGCTGAGCAATTGCCGAAATCCGCCTTACAAGAGATGCTAAGACCCCACCGTGCGAGCGTCCAGTGCACGCGTCGTGCTGAGAGCTGAGAAGGGTTCTTTGAGGGAGAGGCGTTGGAAAATGACAGTTTGCTGCTGAATTCGGGCGCGCCACGCCTCCGATGAGATTCAATTCAGGGCTGCACCGACTTTGGTTGGAACTTGGAACGGTTTCTTTCGTCTCCCCCCAATGAAGCCCGTCGCTTGAGCTGTCCTCCCGGCGCGGAGCACACCCGCTGGCCAGTGCTCGAGGAACACTTGAACCGGGGCTCTGCTTTTAATTAGCTTCGAGCTTGGGGTCCAATCAGGGCAGCTCTCAAACAAGTCCTTGGAGGATGGTGCATGCAGGGCAGAGGCTCCGATGTCCAGGGCTTGCAGAAAGAAACACCACGCTCTACGGCGGGCTGCCGCTTGGCCCAACGCAGGCTAGACTGCTCAGGAACCCAGAACACTCAACCCATGCGATGATATCGTCTTGCATCGGTGGTGGCTTCCGAGTGGGAAAGGACAGGCACAGGCACTCACTCACTTCTCAGCACCTGCCCTGCAGCAGGCCCTAGGTCCCCCTCCATGTGCGCAACCATGCAGCAAGCCACTGCAGCCAAGGGTGCCGTCCAGGGGGGGACCGGCCCAGAACCAGGATCCGCGAACAAGGACTCTTGCTTTTGGATTGGAGCGAGAAATTTGAAAATTTTACGAACGGAAAGGGTTGCCAGACATGGGGAATGCCTGTCGAGCCAACGGGGAGGGAACCTGGGAATTAATAACTAACGGCACGAAGATGATGACTTGATGAAGCGAGAGAAAGAGAGAGAGAGAGAGACGGACAGACAGACACGACAGAGGAGAGACTCCTTACAGCCTACTAGATATTAATGCTATCAAAAGCGTGCATAGGCAGCGACACGGGTACCTTTACCTGCATGTGCGGCACGGCGGTACGCGACCTGGGCATAACACGCGAAAGAAGAGCCCCTTTCGACACGCAGGGAACGTCTGTCGTTGTAAGGTAAGCTAAGTTAGGTACCGCACCGCACCGCAGTAAGTGCTCAACTGTCGATTTGCTGCTGCTGCTTGAGCCGTGCGTGTCGGGTCCTGTCGTGTGTCATTCATCACTTGCCTTATTCAATCGGCCTTCCGTCGATCCTTCCCAAAGTCAGAGAGCCTTCTCGGCAGTCACCCATCGCACTTGAACTCGCACTCGCGCACCCACGAACACTTTTCGCGGTCTTTCCGGCATGGTCTAGCCTTCGCCAATCACCTCCGTCAAGCGTCAAGTCCGTCTGTCTGTCACGCCCGTCCGCTCCTACCTATTATCTCCCACCAACCCGACGGGACCTAACAAAGTCAGGTACCTTACCGACCTACCTACCTTCATACTCCTCCACGCGTTAAGGTACGGATACATCTGCACCTTCAACTGCCGCCGCAGGTCTCCAACGTCTGCAGCTCTCGAGCCCTTCTGCGGTCCTGCACTCGCTCATCCTTTGCTCTTCACTGGCGACTTGTGCCCTCGAACCCTGGGCTGCTCATCTCCCGCAGCCTGTCATCTTATCTTCCTGGCCCAGGGCCGCCAGCCGAGATCAGCTTGCGAAAGCAACCCGGGAACAATCGTCTGTCCACCACCAACTTCACCCTTTCACACCTTCGCCTGCCTGCCACTTGTCTATTCGTATTTCTCGCCTGCGCTTTGGTTTGCAGTTTGCGCAGTTGCGTTGCTCCTCGCTACTGCTACTGCACCTCAGCGAGAGACAAGAACAGCCTCCAAAGCCGCCGGCTGCATGTCTCACGGCCTCCTACCTGTCTTGATTGGTCGTGTAACCACGTCATTTTAGACATCCTGCTGGATCCCGTTGCCTCTCCGCGTCCTCCACCGCCAGCTGCAACCCCTTAAACTCGTGGCCGTCGCAACGCAGCCAGCCAGACAGACAGCAGTCACCTACCTCACGCCGCATACAAACGGCCAGCCAGCTTTGGAATAATTCAAAAGAGGAGGGAAAGAAGGGGCCAATCGCCAGATTCGTCGACGTCAACCGCGCCTGGCCGTTTGTTTCCTGGGAATCGAATCCTCGATCGAGCGCTGAGCAGCACCGAAAGCTTCTCAATCCGGCCGCCTCCCCGAACCCGGCAGCTCGTTTGTGCTTGCTTTGCGCATGCATACGCCCCAACCCCCAACGAACGACGTCTTTGCTACTGCAAACGGTCTTTTCGTCGTTAATCCGCCTTCCACCTGGAGCGCCCAGCATATCTACGACACCACCATTTCGCATATCTAAAATCGGGCCCCGGACCTACTTACTTGGCCCTGCCAAACGACTCGATCTCCGCCCATTTTACTCGACATCTGCACGTTGCCTTTGAGCCTGTCTGCCCGTCATCTTCCGCGACGGGCTTGGGCCGTTTTTAGTTCCATCTGCTGGCACTGCAGCAAACTTGATATCTGCAGTTATCCCCGAGGAAACGGAAACCCGATCAGTCTTATTCCATCCGAATCCACGACCGGACGGCCCACGGACCTGGCTGGACTTTGGGGGATCGGTTGAACCTTGCCCGAAACTTTGCTCAAATGCATTCGTCTCATCCGGAGTTCGTATACCAAGAATAATCACTCCATTGAGTTTCTTGCGTGCGCCACGAAGGCAGGACTCGTCGGTTAATTACAGTCAGCCCGCCCTGTTGGTTGGCGTCCGACTCGTTTCCCGTCCCACGAATCCACGGCCACTGTAACGACAATCAACGCCCGCGATCCAGGTAAACCGACGCGCGGGAGGCTACACCGCGGGACCTGAATCGCTTGCAAAACTTGGCCAACCCAGTCCGCAACCATGGCGACGCAAGCTATTCACGCTCCCGCTCACAGCGGCCATGCT